CCGTCCAGCCTTTGGGGTGCCTGCCAGCGGCCGGGAGCCGGGCCTTTGGACGCTCCCGGGGGTGTGCCCGCACATAGCGCCGCGAGGGGCCGCCAGAGGCTCGGGCTGTGGCCCGAAGGCCACGCGGAGCAGGGGCGCCGACCGGGGGGGGGACATCAAGGGTTAAGTCGGGCCCGTGCCTCGCCAGGAGGCAGGTTCAAAACATAGTCAACACATAGTTTGGAGACGATTGTTTGACTTTTTGGGGACATGTTTTGGGGCATTTCCAACTCTTCGCCTCAAATCCCCCTGTAGGGGCACAGGCCCGACCTTAACATTAGGGCAACAAGCCATACGGCACTCGTCGACGTTACCGTCCAGCCTTTGGGGTGCCTGCCAGCGGCCGGGAGCCGGGCCTTTGGACGCTCCCGGGGGTGTGCCCGCACATAGCGCCGCGAGGGGCCGCCAGAGGCTCGGGCTGTGGCCCGAAGGCCACGCGGAGCAGGGGCGCCGACCGGGGGGGGGACGTCAAGGGTTAAGTCGGGCTCGTGCCTCGACAGGGGGCAGGTTCAAACCATAGTCAACACATAGTTTGGGGACGATTGTTTGACTTTTTCGTGACATGTTTTGAACTATTGTTTGGGGCATTTCCAACTTCTCGCCCCAAATCCCCCTGTAGGGGGACAGGCCCGACCTTAACATTAGGATAACAAGCCATACGACTCGGAGGTGGATAGAGCTCCTACCATGACACGTCGATTAAGGAATTGGCCGTTTTCGGTTTCGCGTCGCGGCCGTCATTTTTGCGGGTCCAGGTCCGTCGGTTTCGGTCCCAGGCCGTTTTCATTAAGGGGAGGTCTACTAAAGGGAGGTTTGTGTCCACCGCCGAATCAAGGGTTCTTAGTTGCCTCGGTACGCCCGTCTTGAAGCGCAATACGTCCCGTGTTCAAGACGTCCGTGTCAATACGCTGCGCGTTGGCTCCACGTGTTGGGCCACGTTTCGGCGAGTGTATCGCGTCGGACCCACGTTTTCGGCCTACGTGTTGAGCTCCGTATCGATACGCTGCGTGTTGCGTGTTGTGTATCGGGGTAACTTAGCAAGGGTTAAGTCGGGCCCGTCCCTCTACAGGAGGCAAATTCAAAACATAGTAGTCTGGGGACGATTTACTCAATGGTATCAAGTTATTTTGGGGTATGCTCTGGTTTTATGTTTATGTTGTCCTCCAAAGCCCGCCTGTAGGATGAACAAAAGGGACACGCCCAGCCCTAAATCAAGGGAGGAACCACCCAGACCCGATGATTGGCGTTCCTACGGAAGGGCTTCGGGCGTTTACTCAACAGCCCGGCCCTGTTCGATTCCTCTTGTGGGTGCGTTTGCTAACGGCTTCGCGTGCCAGGGTGATTTCAGCCACGCGCAGAGGGGGGTGGGGGGAGGGGGGAGGGCTTCTTAGAAGCACCCCTGCTTCTTAGAAGGCGCGGGCCTTACCTACAGATGTAAGAATGGCGCCTTCTAAGAACCAGCCTCCTTCTAAGAAGCCCTCACCCCTCCCTCCACCCCCCCTAGTGCGCGCCGCCAATGATTATTATGGAGGTCGATGTTCTGCCCTCTGGGACGGGCTGTGCGGGGGGAGGCATCGACCCCCGACCGCTTATCTATTGCGCCGATGGGGGACCGATGGCCCAGCCCGCCAAGTGGCGTTGCGGTTCCGCGGTCGGGGGCCCGTCGCCGACCCGTCGGCGATGTGCCGCCGTTTCCAGCGCGATGCTTCCCCCCTTTGTGCCACGTCTCCCCCCATTATCTCAAGCAGTGGCGAGGCGTCGTGGTTTGCCTATGGGCCCACCAAGTATGTCGGCACGATATGTTCTTGGAACATTTCTGGCCGAGACTGTCTTGTTTTAACGCGTCGGGCCTATGTTCTAAGAACATTGCTTGTGGCCCCAGAACATATTTGGGTTCTGCCGGGACGGTCGCTCCCTACTCGACTATCGTATCGAGGATCGGTCAAGGTCACGCAGAGGTGTTTTGACGTTTTCCCTAACCTTCTTGTGCTCGATTCTCGTTTTCGGACATCGCAGCGTTACTCGCCTCCTTCCCGCCTCCTGTCTCCTACCGCTTTCGCTCTCCGCGTCTCGCTCTCCGCGTCTCGCTCTCAGCGTCTCGCTCTCAGCGTCTCGCTCTCCATGGGTGCTGCCGACAGCGGGCAACTGTCGCCACCTTCGCGACCTGCTGGGAGGTCTGGGTGACGTTGTTCTTCCACGGGCCTAGACGAGACCTCGCCACCATGCGTACTGCGGACTACGCAACTGTCGCCACCTCCCCAAGCCCCCAAGCGGTCCAGCGTAGTGGCGTCGCATGCGCTCCAAAACGAGACCTTCCCCCTGGTAGGGAAACGAACTCTATACACCGACGCTTCTTTCGACCCTGCGCCGAAATTCGCACAGGAGCGCGGATCCTGGTGTATACGGGATCCTGGTGTATACATGTTTCGCTGTTTCCCTTGGAAAACTGGGGAGAAGTATACACCACACCACCCCGACGTCGTCCCCGACCTTCCAAAGTCTTGGGATTGAAAAACAACCCGCCCCTGGTAATGTATACGTTCCAGATTCCGACTTGGGTGCTGACGAGCGCGCAGCTGCCGCAATTCGTCTGTGCCCCGAGTGGGTTGCCCAGTGGAGTGACATCCTGCAGACCCGAAGAAGGCCTCGCCTCCCCCGGATTACGCCAGCTGCGCGCCATTGTCTCCACCTTTCTGCGTCCCTTGGGGGTCAAGCGGACTGACGTCTTACGCGGACGCAGAGACTAGACCTCGCCCTCCGCCGGCGCTGCCACTTGCGCAGCTATCGTCACCGTCTCTAGCTCTTGTGGGGTCCAGCGGAGCGGGGCCGTACGCGGACCCAAACGAGACCTCGCCTTCTGTGCGCTGCCAACTGGGCAGCTGTCGCCACTTTCTGTGCCCCAGGGAGGTCCAGCGGAGACGCCACAGGAGTTGCTTCCTAACCCTCGTCCCCTGAGATCCGACGTTCGGAGGAGGAAGAGGTACCCGTTCCTCTACCCCCTCGCCAGTTTTCCCCTTTGGGGCCTCCTGGGAGGCCCTCGTCGCCACTGCTGGATTCGCCTCGAAATCCTGGTCAGAACGCACCCCCGGAGAGGTCCGGGGAGTAGCGGTATCAGTACCTCTTGGCTTCCCCAGGCGTGGCGAACACATGCAGCACCGTGCCAAATCGCGGCCAGAACCCTGGACCCCATCTTTCTGCTGCAGTTTGTCGAGCACGATCGATGTGTGATAGTCCCGGGGCCCAAAGCGGGGCGAGAACGCTCAGCGTGAACAACATAGCAACGCCAAGATCTCAGGGTCCGCCGCTCTCCTTAGGGATCTAGCCTCCTCCTCCTCCTCCGCCCCCTCCTCCCCCTCCTCCTCCTCCTCCTCCTCCTCCTCCTCCTCCTCCTCCTCCTCCTCCTCCGCCGCGTCCTCCCCCTCCCCTTCCTCCTGCTGCTGCTCCTCCTCCACCTCCTGCCGCTCGTCCTCCTCCTCCTCGTCCTCCTCCTCCGCCTCCTCCGCCTCCTCCGCCTCCTCCTCCGCCTCCTCCTCCTCCTCCTCCGCCTCCTCCGCCGCCTCCCAACTAGGGGCGGTAGATTGCCCTGCGGGGCGTCCGCGGTGCGGTGGGGGTGGGGATTGTTTTCTCGTCCAGACTCCCCGCTCTAGGGCCCGGGCCAGGGTTCGGGCCCTTCACCACCCTGCCCCCCCTCCTCCTCCATTCCTTCTCCTTGTAGATCATTTCTCCCTGTCGCACCCCGAAGCCAGATGTTAGGGCGGGCCGGGCGTTTCGCCTGAGACTTCCCTACCACTTATGATTCTGAAGCTGAAAAAGTGACAGAAGGAGGGCGGGTGGTTTTCAACATGTGGCTCTCGTCTTAGCGCGCTGCACATTCGCTCGAGAAATTTGCAAGAGTTTCACGGATCGAGGGCGGGTGGTTTTCAAAATGTGGTTCTCGCCTTAGCGCCGCGCACACGCGTTTTTTACATGCAAGAGATTCACGGATTGAGGGCGGGTCGTTTTCAAAATGTGGCTCTCGCCTTAGCGCCGCACGCATTCGTTCAAAACATTTGCAAGAGCTTCACGGATTGAGGGCGGGTGGTTTTCAGATTGTGGCTCTCGCCTTAGCGCCGCGCATATTCGTTTTAAACATTTGCAAGGGCTTAATGGAATGAGGGCGGTTCCTTTTTCAAAATGTGGCTCTTGCCTTAGCGCCGCGCACATCCGTTTAAAACATTTGCAAGAGATTCACGGATTGAGGGCGGGTCTTTTTCAAAATGCGGCTCTCGTTTTAGCGCCGCGCACATCCGTTTAAATCATTTGCAAGAGTTTCACGGATTTCCATGATCAACGTTCCAGAAATGGTGTTATGGACGGATTCCGGACTGTGCGGGTGCAACAGTTATGTTGGTTCGCGGTGTTGAAGTCCCAGAAATGGCGCTCTGGCACGATTCCGGACCGTCAAGACGCAGCTGTCAGATTGATACGTGGCGTTGAAGACCCGAGAACCATGTTTTGGCATGATTCAGGATTTTCAAACGGTTGTCTTCCGACGAGGCAGTTCCCTCAATGGACATGAACCGTTGTGGGGGCCTGTGAAGAGGGAGCTTGGAGGGAGGGTTAATTCCAACATCGTTGATGACTCTTGATGTTACAGTGGTCCTCCTCCTCCTCCTCCTCCTCCTCCTCCGCCTCCTCCTCCTCCTCTTCCCCCGCCTCCTTCTCCGCCTCCTCCTCATCCTCCTTCTCCGTCTCCGCCTCCTCCTCATCCTTCTCCTCCTCCTCCTCCTCCTCCTCCTCCGCCTCCTCCTCCTCCTTCTCCGTCTCCTCCTCCTCCCTCCTCCTCTCTCCTCTTCCTCCTCATCCTCCCCCTCCTCCTCCTCCTCCTCCTCCTCCTCCTCCTCCTCCTCCTCCTCCTCCTCCTCCTCCTCTTCCTCCTCCCCCTCCCTCATCGCCACTTGGGCTCGGGCCCTCCGCCGCCCAGCCTTGCCCCGCGCAGCCGCCGATAGAGAGCAGGCGGCCGCCCGCGCACGCACGCCGGCGGCCTTCGCCGTGCGGAGGGGCCGTCGGTGCGGCGGGGCTGCTCGGGAGGGAGAGCCAGACGAGGACGAGGCACCGATGTTTAGACGAGGAAAAGGTGCCCGTACCTCTACCCTTTCCTCGTTTGCCCCTTTGTCGGCCTCCTGAGCTGCCCTCGTCGCCGCCGCTGGATTCGGCGCTGAATTTCGGTCAGAGCGCACCCTGGGAGAGGTCCGGGGAGCAGCGGTATCGGTACCTTCTGGTCTCCCCAGATGCTGTTGCCCTTCCCTCGCTTCCCATGTTTGGGTTCGTCGGCCCCGCTCTGAACAGGGATCAGCCTCGGTCCGCGCAGCCTCTCACCTGCGGAGGAGGAGAAGGTGCCAGTGCCGGGCCTCCTGGGCTTCCTGGGAGGCCTTCGTGTTTTCCTGTTCGGACCTGCTGGGAGGCCCTCGTCGCCACTGCTGGATTCGCCTTGAAAGTTTGGTCATGCACGCAGCCCGGGAGAGGTCTGGGGAGCAGCGGTGCTGGTACCTGTTGGCTTCCCCAGAGGGGGCCGTCGGGAGCCGTTCGTGGAAAGAAACACTCTCTGTATCCGCGGGGTCGCGGCCCAGGGGCCCCGCCCGCGAGGCAGTGGACACGGATCCTTTGTCCACGCTGCACGAGCCCCCTCGTTCTCCTTCGCGTGGCGCCGAGCGAGCTCGGCCATGCGCCCTGCAGCCCAGGAAGACCGCGAGAGGGCCCACGGCGGCCCGGGACGGCATGTTTGCCCTGCCGAACGGCATTCTTCGTGGCGAAGATTCTCTACGCCTGAGGCCCCCCCCCGCGTTCCTACGTGTGCCCCAGTCCTGGCCTGGCACGCCAGCATTCCGAACGCGCTGGGGGCGATCGCGATCGCTGCTGACCCGCAGTCTCCCCTGCGCTCTTTGGCCCGGAAGCCTGGTGCATCTTCAAACGCTGATGGTCCGTGTGACTTCGGCTGCGCGCCGAGGGGGGAAGTGAGAGGGGGCACGCCTCCTCAGAAGGCGGCGGAGCTTCTCAGAAGCCCGGCGCCCTTCTGAGAGCCCTTCTGCGACCTCGGAGGCTCAGAGAGAAGACCCTCGGAAGGCCAGAGGCCTTCCCCCAGACTCCCTGGCGCCATAATTTTGATAACGTCGACCCCCACGCCTTCTGAGGAGCAGGGGTGCTTCCAAGAAGCCCTCCCCCTGACCCCCCTTCTGCGCGTGGCAGACCCAGACCTCCGACGTCGTGATTTGTTTCGCAACGTCGATCCCCAGAGCAGAGGTCCGGACCCATTCCGCGGGACCGGATTTTCATCCCGAGTCGTCTTCTGACGGTCCCGAGGCGCGGTAAGGGCCCTCGGAGGCCGAAAAGAGCGACAAGCCTCCCGTCGGGATTGTTTTCACGGCGCGGGGGGGTCCGTGGAGAAGGCCCAGAAAGAAGCTCCTCAGAAGGACCTCAGAAGGCCAGGGGCCTTCTGAGCCTTCTGAGGAGGCCGCCCCCATATGCTTTCCCCCCCGGGCTCGCCGGCTCGCCGCCGAACCCTGGGCGATGATCCACATAGGGGGCCCGAACCTGCTCGTGGGAGTCGTCGCCGCCGCCGCCGTCGTCGGTCGTCGTCGTCGTCGTCGTCGTCGTCGTCGTCGTCGTCGTCGTCGTCGTCGTCGCCGCCGTCGTCGTCGTCGTCGTCGTCGTCGTCGTCGTCGTCGTCGTCGTCACCACTGCGATTCTGCGACCGCCCTCGTCAGTTCGTTCCCCAGCGGCAGACAACAGTGTGTCCCATCGAGCCCCCGTGCGCTGTTTTACCTTCCCCCCTCTAGGAGGCCACATGCGAGCCCTGCCCCACCACCCCACGATTTAGAAAGGGGGGAGGCTGGGGCTTACTTCGTCTGGAACCTCCCGAGCGAAGTGACTCCCACCTCCCCCCGCAGAACTCAGTGGGGTGGTCGGGTAGGGCTCGCATGTGGCCTCCTCCTCCTCCTCCCCCTCCTCCTCCTCCTCCTCCTCCTCCTCCTCCTCCTCCTCCTCCTCCTCCCCCTCCTCCTCCTCCACAATTACTCAATATGAAAATATTCTCCCTCTTCCCCTGATGGCGTCCGGGTGATGGCCGCGCACCCTCCGCGTACTAGTTTTTTACACATAGGATTCCCGGGAAATCCCGGGAAACGACTCTCGCTGAGGCGCCGGCTTCATTTTTTCCCAAGATGCTGCTCTCGTTGAGGCGCCGGCCTCATTTCTGCTCCCGAATCGTTCCGAATCGTGCTCCCGCTGCAGCGTGGGCCTCATTTTCGGATCGGTGTTTGGCCTCCGTCGTTCAGGATGGCGTTCTCGCCCCAGCGCGGGCCTTTTCTCGCGCGCCCATCCGCCCGCCACCACCGCGCCACCACCACCACCACCACCACACCCCACCACCACACCACCACCACCACAGCACCATACCAACACCACCACCACCCAGCACGCCACCCCACCACCACCACCACCACCCACCACCACCACCACCACCACCACCACCACCACCACCACCACCACCACCACCACCACCACCACCACCACCACCACCACCACCACCACCACACCACCACCACCACCACCACCACCACCACCACCACCACCACCACCACCACCACCACCACCACCACCACCACGACAACCACGCACACACGCACGCACGCACGCACGTGCACCACCACCCACTACGCACGCGCGCGCGGAGCCACAGGTCCGCTACGACACGCGTCCGCGGATAGAGAAAATCAGCGCCATGGTAAGGGATGGGAGGGAGGGGTAGGACGTCAGATATGACGCGAGCGCACCTAGCTTGTCCCCCTCCCCCTCCCCCTCCTCCCCCTCCTCCTCCTCCTCCTCCTCCTCCTCCTCCTCCTCCTCCTCCTCCTCCTCCTCCTCCTCCTCCTCCACGTGGCCCCCGGCCACTGCTGCTGGTCTTGACTCCCGAGGGGCTGCACGGGGCAGCAGGCCCGCGGCCACCCCGCGGGCTCCCTTCCTGGGCGCCGCGGTGACGGCCCCAGGCGCCGGGCGCGACCGACCCGTTTTTTGTTCCAGGGCGAGCGCGGGCTCGCTCGATCCGTCTGGAGAGGTGCCGCGTCTGCCACGCGCAGGGCCCCGACCCCCTCGCGCCATGAAAAAAACACGGCGGGAGGTTTTAAAAAATGTTTGTCGGCCTACGGGGGGCCCTCACCAATCATCCACCACCACCACCACTACTAAGCCTTGCGTCCGTCTGGTCGCGTGGGCAGACACACCAAATGCGTGCAAGAGCGCGGGAGAGCTCACGCGCCAAACATGCGCCAAGGAGAACACGAGACACGCCAAACGCGTGCCGGCACAGGAGGGAGGGGGAAGGACGACGAAGAGGAGAAGATGATGAAGAAGAAAAACCTCGGGACCGTCAAACAACGATTCAGGATGAAAAAGGTCCCGGGGAATGGTCCAGACCTCTGCTCTGGGGGTCGACGTTGTGAAACAAATCACGACGTCGGAGGTCTGGGTCTGCCACGCGCAGAGGGGGGTCAGGGGGAGGGGGGAGGGCTTCTTGGAAGCACCCCTGCTCCTCAGAAGGCGTGGGCCTTGTCTGTAGGTGTAGGGCTGGTGCCCTCCAAGAAGCAGCCCCCTATGTCAGGATCCTTCCCTGCTCCCTCCACCCCCTTGTGCGCGCCGCCAAGTCTAGTGCTCGGGTCGTGACGTCTTACGGTGTCGAACTTTGTCGCGGCGCTGGATCTCAGGGTTGGTCACCCGACGGACTGGGGCCCGACCCACCCGGACTCCCTTGCAGGGGCGGGGGGTCCGGACTCTTGTGGGATTGTGTGTGAAGCCGATGTCCATGGGGACCTTGGCTTTCCACACGTTCCCAGAGAAGTCTGGGCCCACTGGGTCGCATGGTGGGTCCAGTCCCGTCTGTTTGGTAGATGTTCGACCAGGTGGCAATGTTCGGGCGACGAGAGATACGTACACATACCTAGACCCCTTCGCGTCGCGCAAAAAAAAACACGACGTAAGCTTCTTGGCCGTTTTTATCCTTTGCGGGCCGTCACGGGGCCCCAAGGTCGTCACATAACGGCTCAGGACGAAACGCCGCGCGTAGAAAGTTGGAAAGTGCGCCTCGGAGGAACATGACGGGGCCAGGACTTCTGGGGGCCCCGAATTGGACAAAAACGCGACCACGGACGTCTGTGACACTGGCCTGGCCCATCCTGGGCCCAGGATCGGCCTGGCCAGGATCGTGGTACAGGTGCACAGCTGGCACCCCGCCACGAGCGCATGGGGTCCGTCTGCAGGCGCACTGGGTCGGGGCGCGCGACGGAGGTCCAGCGCTCACTGGGGCTCAGCAAGTCCACGGTGATCCCCTTGGGCGGGGGCGAGCAGTTTGAGTCACGGGTGGGCAGTAAATCCACGGACTGGATCGCCACACCAGGAAGGTGCTCCCCACCCCGTGGGACCGCTTTCCCGGGCGCTACACCGAGGCCCCCCTGTGGCCGACCCGGAGTTGAGAGTCACGCGGCCCACCCGGGGCATCGCTGACCCGGGCCCGCGCGTCCCCTATAGGGGGCAGAGAGGCACGAGCTGGAGGGATCTGTGCCCACCGCAGGTCGGCTCGTGTTGAGGCTCCTGGTCTGCCCGGTGGCGCTTGGACTCGCACAGCGGTGAGTCCTAGAGGCGGGGATCTATCCAGATCCACCGCCTGGGGGATCGATCCTCGCGGACCTCCACAGGCTGTGGATCTGGATATATTCGGGCCCCAGGGGCCAAAATATATCCATATACACCGCCCGCTGGGGCACCAGGACGTCGGTTCCCAGGCGGTGGCTGTGGATAAAGCCCCGCCTCGCAACCCCACAGGTTTGCCAGGAGGAAAAAAACGCAAACAGGAGAGCTGGAGGAATACCACGGGCCCCGAGAGGTTTCCGCTCCTCCGCGGAGGCGGCGCCTCGGCGCTCCGCACCGGCGCGAGGTGCGGGGCGCCGGGGTCCCGACCCGTTGGGCTCGGGGAGGTCCCCGTCCTGGGGGCGGTTGCGGGGCCGAGGGCGCCCAGCGCTGGCTCCTGCCAGCATGCCAGGGTGGAGAGGGGGCCCACTGCGTCGCCGCGGCTGGGCGCGGCTCGACAAGCTCGGCAGCTGCGACCCATGGGAGGCTGGGAGGGGTCCAGGGACTGTTTTCTAGTGGAGGTGCCCTCGTCCCCCCCTCGTGCCTGATTTTCTAGTGGGCCCTTCCAGCGCAGACCCCCGGCCGCCCATCCCCACCCCTGCCAGACGATCTGAGAGCCCCAGAGGTTCCTGGCTCCTCGCTCCGTGGCTCCCCGCCCAGTGCCTCCGCCGCAGACGACCGGAGGAGTCATGTCGGGGCCACGAGTCAGGATCGGCGGCTACAGCGCGATGTGGGGCGACATCCAGCTCCCACAGTACCAGCTCATCCGGAGCGGGGACTGTGATTATCTCATCGGAGACTACCTTGCCGAGCTGACGATGGCAATCCTCGCACGGCAGAAACAGAAGGATCCTAAGATGGGGTATGCGACGGCAATTGTCGATATGGTGCGCACGCACATCAAGTCTCTGCATGAAAAAAAGATAAGGGTAGTCGTGAATGCTGGCGGCATGAATCCTCTTGGGTGCCGGGACGCACTTAAGGCCGTGTGCGCAAAGGCCAATATAGATTTGAAGATTGGAGCCGTGTTCGGAGACGACGTTATGGACAAGGTGGAGGGGCTACGTAAGGGCGGTTGCCGAGAGATGTATACGAATGAAGCATTCCCGGACACGCCATTCACAAGCGCAAACGCATATTTCGGTGCAGTTCCCATCGCGGCTGCCCTGAAGGAAGGCGCCGATATTGTGGTCACTGGGCGTGTCGTTGACAGCGCTCTGGTGCTTGGCATCCTCATGCACGAGTTCGGCTGGAGAACGGACGAGTACGACAAGCTGTGCATGGGCACTGCCGCTGGACACCTGATAGAGTGCTCCGCGCAGTGCACTGGCGGGTTGTTTACGGACTACCAGGATGAGAAGTGGGACAACATGGGGTACCCAATCGTGGAGGCCTATCCCGATGGGACATTTACGCTCACGAAGCCCCCGAACACGGACGGGCTCGTGAGTTTTGGATCTGTGGCAGAGCAGCTCTGCTACGAGATCCAGGATCCTGGGGCATACCATGTGCCCGACGTGGCCTGCGATTTCACGTCCATCAAGATCGAGGAGGTGGGCGAGAATGTGGTACGCGTCTCCGGAGGGCGGGGTTTGCCGCCAACGAATTGTTTCAAGGTGTGCGCAACCCTCCCCGATAATTTCGTGGCCATGCACGTCTGGCTGATCGTCGGCCACAACGCCGCAGACAAGGCACGACGCACGTTTGAGGCGCTCCTGCGCCGCACGAGGTTCATGCTACAGATGGCGAAGATGGACGACTTTGAGGAAACGTGCTTTGAGGCCCTGGGCGCGAACCATTTTAACCCCAACCGTGGCGAGGCTGAGGCCACGGAGGTCGTGGCGAAGGTGGGCCTCAAGCACAAGGACAAGAGGGCGCTGGGCCTCTTCGCGCGCGAGTCGGTCTGCTCCGCCGTCTCCATGGCCCAGGGCACCACCTCCTTTGGCGGGACCAACGTTACAGGCAAGGTGTCGGAGGTGCTGAGGGTGTTCTCGTGGCTGCAGCCGAAGGAGAGCTGCCGCTGCTGGGTGGAGGTGGAGGGCCTGCGCCTCCAGGTTCCCGTGCCCACCGAGGGCGGCTTCCCTGGCAGCGGCAGCGCCTCCGCCGCGGCCTCCGCGGTGCCCGCGGCGGCGCCGACGGGGCCGACCCGAAGAGCTCCGCTGCGACTGCTCTGCTGGGCACGGAGCGGGGACAAGGGCGACAAGGCAAACGTGGCGCTGATCGCGCGGAAGCCCGAGTACTTGCCGCTCCTCAGGCCCTCTTCCTTCTCCTCCTCCTCCTGGCAAGCCCGACGGCTGGTGCACGCGTCACTGCGAACCGACTCTGGCCGCTTGGCCTTCATCAAGAGGCGGTTGATTGGTTGACGCCTCTCCTCTCCTCGCAGGCGGTGGCGCTTCTCCTCCTCGTCGTCGTCCTCCTCCCCCTCCTCCTCCACAGAGGGCGATGGTGTACCACCTCCTCGTCCTCCTCCTCGTCCTCGTCCTCCTCCTCGTCCTCGTCGTCGTCGTCGTCCTCCTCCTCCTCCTCTTCCTCCTCCTCCTCCTCCTCCTCCTCCTCCTCCTCCTCCTCCTCCTCCTCCTCCACAGGGGGGGTCTGTACATCATCGTGCTTGGCCAGGGCCACCCCGAGGCCCCGGGGGGTGGCGTGTAGGCCCCACTGACCGAGGCCAGGAGGGCGTGCAGGCCGGCATCATCACAGTCAAACCTCGACGGCGAGCGAGGGGGGGGGAGCTTCGGCGGCGAGCGAGCGAGGTTTCGGGTTCGAGGTTCGAGGTTTTCCGGCGTTCTCGTCGGTCCTCGGCGGTT